TTCCTTGAATCGCATAACTGAATGAAAATAAGAAAACAAGAAATTAAATCGGCAATATCATTGTTTGTTTTTATCCCAAGCGCGCGCTCTAGAAAGCTATTTTAAAGCCAACTGTCAGAGGTGTCATTATGTTAGCGAATAGAAAGCAAGGTTAGTCGTACACGTTTTAACCTTCCACAATTTTATTTGCACCTCGTGCTTGATTTTACATTAATTTTCGCATTTTTTAAACAAGCTTCTCACTATTTAGGTGTAATAGTGGTATTTCACTGGACTTACAAGCCGTTTATCGTTAACATCTTTTTTCAAAATTCCAAATAATTTGCGAAATTTTGATTGATAAGGTTTTGTTTTCAATACGAAATAATTTGCTCGAGAAGGAAAATAATTTACACATTTTACCCGGCTTTGATGGCAGTTTGCCATCAAAGCCGGGTAAGCTCTGCCACAGGCTCTTTCACAGTGGATTATTAAAGAGTTTGTACAATTGTCTAGTTGGACTTGCTTTTGAGCTCCGTAAATGTAAAATTGTGTGAAATAATCAAAGAAATAAAGTCTTACCTTCATAGAGAGTAGTCTGTGTCGTTCTCCTCGCGATTTGTGGCCGTTTTGATGTGTTTTAGCTTGACGCCTTAACTCGGCCAGCGAGTCATCGTGCACAAGATACGGGAAGGTCGGAAACTTCTGTTGACACATGCTCGCCAAAATCGCTCGAGAACAACACTTAAATACTTTCCCTCGAATCAAAACTTGGCAGCACGAAAGCCAAATAGTTGTCCTATAAGTTCACCGAAAAGTATCCCTCAAAAGTTGGTTTGTCGAGCAACCAATCCAGCGAAAATTTCAAATTAACGGCCGTTTTAAATTCTCCTGATGCGTGGAAGGAACATGTTGTGCAGCTGAGCGACCGTTAATGTGCGGTCAACCTGCACCCTAGTCAAATCTCTCTCAACGGGTCCTCCCTATAGTCTTCTAATACCAACTTTTCACACATACTAAGGTACCCCGGGTAAACTCATCGACTTGACTAGATCGTCGATACTGTCCATCTTCACTGTTTTCAATTGATTTTCACAAATATCCTCTTACCCGGGGTACCTCAGTATGTGAGATGAGTTGGTGTTAGAAGACTATGGGGAGGACCCGTTGAGAGAGATTTGACTGGGGTCCAGGTTGACCGCGCATTAACGGTCTCTCAGCTGCACAAGACGTTCCTTCCACGCATTAGAAGAATTCAGAACGGCCGTTAATTTGAAATTCTCGCTG